ACACAGTTCTTGGATCGTGGACACAAAGCTTTAGAGTAAGATATTTTTTTTATCAGTGTGGATACAAGATGAATTAGTTTTTTGAAGAAAGCTGCAACTGTATCTGTATAATTATAGCTTTCCAAAAAAAGATACCAAGCTGTGGTAGAAATGGGCATAAGTCGAAAACGCTCGTGTCAAAGTGGCCTTAGCGACGAGGATAAAATAAGCCCGTCGTTGCGAATGTACGACGAAAATGTCATTCGAAGTTGGACGATCTCTCAAGTCCTGGACGTTTTAAAGACAGGCTTTTCTTTTCTTCTAGTTGTTTTAGTATTTAGACAATCTTGATGACAATTTCATTTTTGAGAGTTCTGAACGTTTTACGTATTTGAACGCCTTTGAGGAAGGGCATTTTAGTTGTTTTCGGACTGTTTCAAGAATTTATCGGCTAATGGATAAGATTGTTAATTTATTGCCGTTTGACACGCGGAAAGGAAGATTAAGATTAGGGATGACGAATGGATTTAGAAACTTTATTGCGACACGCACGGTTCTGCCGGTGGAATTAATCTCGATTCAGTTGATTGGCGGTTAGCATATATCGAGTACTATATTACTACGTTCATGAATAGAATTGATTTTTATTTAAATATTGTATGGAAGAAAGAGAGTAGATTAAGGATATCAAGTTATACAAGAAAAAGTTGTGTTTTAATACGAAAAGAAATAATTTTGTCGTTTAATATATAGAAAAACAATTGGACTAGAAAGAACGATTTATATCGCTGGAAATTTTATTTCGAGAAATATTGCCGATCGAATTGACCATCGATCAGGATGATCCGAGTTCGATCCTAATCGTCGTCGGATACAAATCTAGGCTGACATTACATTTATCGTGCGACAAATTTTTCAAGCGCGTTGAATGGCTGCAAGATAGAAAAGTTGACGAGTATTTAGAAATCTTCTATCTTGTAGTCAACGAACGCGCTTAAGAGAAATTTTGTGCGACAAATTTTTCAAGCGTGTTGATCGACCGCAGGATAGAAAAGTTCTCGAGCATTTAGAAATTTTTTCTCTTCTATAGTCTGTGAAGGCGTTAAAAAAAAAATTTGTCGTACGACAAATGTAATGGCGCCCTTACAGGCGCCTAAAATTGGTCGCGTCTAGGCACGGGTATGTCGTAACAATCACCTGATCGGCCGCGCAGATTTCCGGACGCGCGCATGCACCCAAGAATCATATGGCCAGCACATTTCCGTCGAGGTTGTATGTATACATACACTCGCCGTCCCCACGCTCGTCCCTTCCTTTTCCCACCCGAATACGAATCTACACGTCCATCTCGGTTTCAAATGCACAAAGTATCGCGAGGCGATAGCTCTCTCCTCCCCCCTCTCGAACGAACCGGATTAACCGGACCGCGGTGTCCAATTTTAACGAAATCACTGTCGATCGATTTAAACGATTTGAACGACGGTTCGTGCGCGAATTAAAATTCGCACACACCAAGCGGGCGTATTCCCCGAGATTTTCTCACGCAGACCCACGTTTCGGACATCCGTTCACGTTCGAAACGGCGTGTGTGCGCGCTTGACGTGACGTAATGTCTAAGGTTCACTCTGGAAGGCTATAATTCGCGGATCGGATTTCTATTCTAAGGTCTGACGCGCATCGGCTCGCAATTATCGGCCGCGTATTTTAACGCGCGCGGGCGTATTTTAACATCTTTCGTATCCGCAGTTATCCCGATTCCTCGATCGTTTTCTATTCCACCAGCGTGAAATTATAAATAGAACATCCTAAATCCGCCAGGGATTTCAGAGACGGGCTCTAAACGCAAACGCTCAAATCGCTGTAGGGACAGTTTTTTTTATTGATCAAAAGACGCACCACATGCAAATACCATGAAGAGCTCTCGAAATACGCTCTACGCTTCGACGCAATGCATTACGCCGTGACGGGTGTTCTGCTTTTGAAGTCTTTATACATCGACTGACTTTTTATCTTCCGGTCGTTTTGACAGTTGGAACGTGTTTCCATTCCTTCCATTGTCAGTAGAGGAAAGTCCTCTATTCTGAGGTAGGTTTCTAGTACGAGACAGCAGGTTTTCAACACCCAAAGTCAATCAGAAAATTTTCTTCGCAACAATCACACGGTCCAATAATAAATTTTTCACTAAACACACTTCACTCCAAGGGCAAATTCGTGATAGAACCAACCGATGATGCCTATTAGTTTAACAGAAAACCCACTATCCCATAGTGGGACCCTAACTCATAATGGGGGACTTTACCGCCATAGTTTATTTGGGTGTCTATCTTTCTCTAGTGGACACGAGTCATGGGAGTCACAAGGTTTGTTTTCTGTTCCTGCACCGGTAAACTAGTGCAATAAATTAGAGTGAGACAGGTATATTTTTTCTCATTCTAGCTTACTGCACTAGTTCAGCAGTGCAGTAACAGAAAACAAGCCTACAGAAAGGTAGGCACCCAAATAAATTCATAGAGAAAATTCCTCCATGAGATAGGCTTACGAGGTAGGTTTCTAATATGAGACAGCAGGTTTTCAACACCCAGATTCAATCACAAATCTGTCTTCGCAACGATTGCGCGATCTAACGATGAGTTTTCCACTAATCAGATTTCGCTCCAAGGGCAATACATTCATGGTGGAGTCAACCGATGATGTCTATTATAATAAATTAACAGAAACCCTGCTATCCCATATTAGGAGCCTATCTCATAACAGACTTTACTACTACCAGTACTGGACGCTATTATTGAATGCAACTTCTGAGAAAATCATTCCCAAATGAAACCTTAGTATCCTTCGCAATAGCATAGCAGTTATTCTTTTCTAAACGCAGCCATCCATATCCGAGATAGCAATGCAGGTCTGTAAGACAACCGAATGCCGTTTTAAAGATGTCTGTTAGACATGCATGCTACCTTTTCTCTCGTACTAAATGCTTGAGACTAGTGTGAAGTACTGTCAGTAGTACCGAGAGGAAATAGGAACACACCCTGGGTTTCCTTGTTTCCTGACATGATGACATTTGTTAAGGCCTCACCAGAATGGCTGTTTTGTACTCATAAGCCAATGTTTCATGTTTTAAATCTTTGTCTCAAGCCTAATCTACAATGTGTACAATGTTCTATTTTGTAGTCAACAGATACGTTTAAAAAACTTGTGCAAGTTGAGAGATTCTATGTACAATCGTGCATCGACAAATTCAAGCGTTTGGATTTGTTTGCATAAAATAGGGTGTTTCTCGACTGGGCTTTTAATTCGGTTTTTTGCTTCGAAGTCAAGAAACCTGTTTTTCTTTTCATCTCTACAGAGGGCACGTTGTAGACTGGGCTTTAAACTGACGCCCAGCAACTGTCTCGCGGCCTAAGAATACAAGGCGGCCGTTCCGCCCTTACCGTTCGGTAACGAACGACACAAATATCGCCGCGGGATGCGCAATTATTCCAATCGTAGAGTCCGCCTCGCGCCTGACACGTGCCGCCCCCTCGCGGGCGGGCGGCGCTTCCTGAGCTCGGCGACAGTGGGCAAATCTGCGGGCGCCCGTGCTCGTCTCCCGCGAAGTCAACGGAACGCCGTGCCATGGAGCACCGAGTGCGCACGCAGGGACTCGCCTCGACGAGACGGTGCCGTGATGTCGCGGCGAGCCGGTCAAGGGTATCGCACTGAACCACCGTCGTCGTCGTCCGGAGTCCGCCTCGGGTGGAACCACGAGTCCACGCACGGCGCAACCGACGGACGGGACGACGGCCGGGAGTATCGTCCGAGTCGCGCCGAGTCTATGTGAAGCGACACGCTCCGCGGCGTTGCCCGCTGTCCGACGGACTCCACGCGTTACGTGCGGGACGGTCGTCGCGGCGCGAGAAAGAGAGAGAGAGAAAGAGAGAGAGGAAGGGAGGGGGGGAGCGAAAAAGCGGAGAGTTTTCCGAGCGGCACGCGCGCTCGGGGGCTCGAGCGACGGATAAGCTCGGCTTCGGCGCCGAGCCGCGCGTCGCGTGTCGATCCGTCGAGAACGCGAGTTGGAGTGACGGCGGAAAAGAGAGCTGCGGGGGAAGGGGGGCGCCCCTCGCGCGCGCGCGCGAACACCTGTGCGCGGCGCGGCGCGGACAGTCGCGTCCCGACTTCGCTGTCCGCCGCGTGTGCACCCGCGTCGTAGACCGCGACAGGACGAGGAGGAGCCGCCGGAGGTGGTGCGCCATGGAGGATTCGTCGGGGACGTGCGCGTCACCGTAAGACCCCGTCCCGGCCGCGCCAACGCGGGGGGGGGGGATCGTCGCGCGTTTCGGCGTCCGGGAGTGTGCGTGCGTGCGTGCGTGCGTGCCTGTCCGCCTGTGCCGGATATCAACCCCGCGATAGAGTGTGCCGCTGGTGCCAGTGTCGGTGGTGGTGCGACGACGGCGAGCATCGTCCGCGGGTCCGGCGTCGCGCTCGAGGGGGTTAGAAAGCGAACGGAGGGCGGACGAGAGGACACGGGGGCGACGAGGAAGGGAGGCCGCGGCGCGGTGTGTGTGCGTGTGTGTGCGTGACGAGCGAGCGAGAGGAAGCGACGATCGGCCAGTCAGTGCGCCAGAAGCGACGAATTCGACCGGCGCTCCCTTTGTCTGCGCTCCGCGAGACTGAGGGCGAGAGAGATAGACAGATAGACAGTGCGCGCGCGCGCGCGCGCGAGAGAGAGAGAGAGAGACACCGAGAGGATTCGTCTCGGTTCTCTCTGCCGAGCGACCGGATTGATGCCGACGGGCCGACGAAGACGACGACGACGTTGCTGTTGTTGTTGTTGCTGCGCGCCCGGTTCGACTTTGATGCGCGCCGTCAACACGCCGCCACGCCGTCCGGCACGGTGAGGCCGACGAGGCTCCGTCCCCCCCGGTCGCGTCGAGCCGCGGCATCTCTGATCGACCGACGACGCGCACGGTGTTATGTCGCCGCCGACGACGGCGGCCCGCGTGACTCGTCGGTGCCGGTGACGAAACGCGCGCGCGGTTATCCGACGGCGGGAGAGAAAGAGAGAGAGAGAGAGAGAGATCGGGTTGAGGGAGCCGAGGATGAGAGATACGGCCGACGGAGGGAGGATTTATCGGAGAGAGCGGTCTACCCGGTCGTACGCGCGTATCCGTTTCGGTAAAAAGGAAGAATAACAAACGGGAGGAGAGGAGAGAGAGCGAGAAGGGATCTTGCGTTCTCCGCGGGACTGTCGCCGGCTTTCGCGAGTGCGAGCGAGAGGTGCTCCGTGTTTACGTAGGTGGTCGGGGAAAGGTCGCAGGCAGAAGCGGGTTATCCTCCGGAGGACACGCTATCGTGTGAAGGAGAGAAAGAGAGAGAGAGAGTGAGAGGGGCTTGTATGGGCATCGGGAGGCGGAAATCGATCGACGGCGACGGCGAGGATCGGCGAGTATTTTCGGGCGCCGACGAGCGGAAGAATGGAACTGCAGCGGCGACAGCGACCGCGGCCTCGACGGCGGAGTCGTCAAACTCGCGGCGGCCCGGTGCCAATAACCTCCGTTCGCAGCCAAGAGCCGGGGAGACTGGCGTGGTAGAGCCCGCCTTCCATCCATCGCGCGGCGGCGGCGACGATGCGCTCGCCCTCGTCGCGCGCGACAGGTCGTAAAATTAGAAGACGTTCCGGGCGAGCGTGTGCCGCGCGTATCGCCCACCGCGGCGGCGGAGGCCCCGCGGGTGTGACAGTGCGCGCGACGGGAGTGCGGTGTTCCATAGTTCCTCCGCTGCGCGCGAGTGCCTGGGATCCGCGAGGCCGATCGCCGACCGGGCGGAGAAACGGCGCGGCGCCCCCCGTCGTTTCTACTAGCTCGTCGCCGAGCGCGCGAGTGCAACCCCTTCTAGTCCGCCGCATTTACGGAGGACCGCCGCTTTTCCGCGGCCTCCGGCAAGTATAATTAGTGGAATTGATTCGCGCGCGTGCGAAAGCGGCGCGTGCCCGTCCCAACAAGGACTCCGAACACTCGCACAGGTCCCCGTTGAGCACGTGACATCCTGGATCCTCGTCCCGAAGCCGCCGTGATCTCGACGGAGCGGCATGTTCTCCGCAGCGTCCGGCGAAAGCGCGTCGGAAAAGAGCGCGGTGAGACGCTGATCGCACGCACGGACACGCTCGCGCGTACTCGATGACGAGTCTCGACGGGGCCAGATAGAACGGACGCGAAACAAATGGGCACCAATGATTAGCTTGGCCCTGTCGGCGGCGGCAAGCAGGATCGAGATGCCCCTCTCCAAAGCGAATCCGTTCGTGCAGGCGGGCGCGATCTCGACGCAGCCGTACATCTCGAGCAGCGAGAGCAGCAACCACCTGCCGCCGATCATCAAGGGTACCGGGCTGACCGGCCTCAAGCAGACCAGCGGCGGCGGTGGCGGCGGTGGCGTGGGTGGCGGCGACGAGCCGGTGCCTTACGCGGGTTACCAGAGGCTACCGTGGAGAGGCGAGAGCTACGGCCTGAGTAATTGGCCGGTGAGTCACAATTCCAGCCACAACTCGCATTCGCAACCCAACAGCCAGTCGAGCAGCCCAGTGGTGAGAAACGGCCGTTCCGACGGTAACTCCAACAGCGGTGCTGGTCGCGGCGGAGGTGGCGGAGGCGGCGGCGGCGGCGGCGGCGGCGGCGGCGGAGGCGGCGGAAACGATAACGGAGGCGGTGGCGGCGGCGGAAACGGCGGCAGCGTCGGCAGCAACAGCATCGTCAGCGTCAAGCCGAAAACGGCGACCATCACGCCGGACATGGTGATGAAGCTCTACATGAACAAGCTGACGCCGTACGAGCACCACGAGATCTTCAACTACCAGGAGATCTACTTCATCGGCGCGAACGCGAAGAAACGACCGGGCATCATCGGCCGGCCGAACAACAACGAGTACGACAACGAACAGGGCTCGTACATCCACGTGCCGCACGATCACGTCATGTACCGGTACGAGGTGCTGCGCGTAATCGGCAAGGGCTCGTTCGGCCAGGTGGTCAAGGCCTACGATCACAAGATGCACGAGCACGTGGCGCTCAAGATGGTGCGCAACGAGAAGCGCTTTCACCGTCAGGCGCACGAGGAGATACGTATACTGCGCAAGCTGCGCGAGCAGGACAAGGACAACACCATGAACATCATCCACATGTTCGACTCGTTCACCTTCCGCAACCATATGTGCATCACCTTCGAGCTACTCAGCATCAACCTGTACGAGCTCATCAAGAAGAACAACTTCAAGGGCTTCAGTTTGCAGCTCGTGCGCAAGTTCTCGCACTCGCTGCTCCTCTGCCTCGACGCGCTCTACAAGAACAAGATCATACACTGCGACATGAAGCCGGAAAACGTGTTGCTCAAGCAGCAGGGCCGCAGCGGCATCAAGGTGAGCGATCGCTCTAATCGTATAGAGATAATAATCGCGCGGTCGTGACATTTTTCGGACAAGATATACTTCACGAAAGGACAGTTTGCTTATTGTCACCAGTAACGATTAAAAATTGAGACGGGAAACTTATAGTCAATCCAACTGGCTAGTTATTTAATTAGTTTATTACAAAACGTTTCGACTCTATTCTTTTGGGTCCTTTTCGAGTGATGCTCCAAATTAACAATAACAACGCAGTTAGCAAGATATACTTGGTTGCTCTTTCAAATGTATACTCTAAAAGTCAATCAGTGGATTATCACTGAAAACAGTGAATAGTCACCGATTTGCAGTTATAAGTATACCACTGCAATTTTCAGTGTACTTATAACTGTAAAGCGGTGACTATTCACTGTTTTCTTCCTAATTTAATACTCTGCTCTCTAAAAGTCAATGGGTTATCACTAAAAATAGTGAATAGTCACTGATTTGCAGATACAAATATACCACTGCAATGTTCCATAGTATACTCATAACTGCAAACCGGTGACTATTCACTGTTTTCTTCCCAATTAATACTCTGCTCTCTAAAAGCTAATCAGTGGATTATCACTGCAATTTTCTGTAGTATACTCATAACTGCAAACCAGTGACTATTAACTGCTTTCTTTCCAATTAATATGCTGCTCTCTAAAAGTTAATCAGTGGATTATCGCCGAAAACAATGAATAGTCACCGATTTGCAGTTATAATACCATTGCAATGTTCTATAGTGTACTTATAACTGCAAACCGGTGACTATTCACTGTTTTCTTCCTAATTTAATACTTTGATCTCTAAAAGTCACTTGGTGAATTATCACCGAAAACAGTGAATAGTCACCGATTTGCAGTTATAATAATTTGCGCTACGATTTTCAGTGTATTTATAACTGCAAATCGGTGACTATTCACTATTTTCAGTGTTAATTCACTGATTGACTTTTAGAGAGCAGAGTATTAAACTAGGAAGACCGGGATTTGGAAAGGACGAAGGGATTTTAGTAATTCAAATGAATCACTTTTTTTTCTACACTCTCTAAAATTCAATCAGTGGGTTGATCAGTGAAAACAGTGATATACCACGCAGTTTGCCGTGGTACACTTTTAACTGTAAATCAGTCACTACTCACTGCTTTCAGTCATAATCCACTAATTTGCACGAATCACGTCCAGTCATTTGTCAAATAAGAATATCAAGATGATATTGTCGAAGAGCGAACGTTTTTTTATATTTTATCCCGATTATGTTTTCACACAAATATAAATGATCTCGAGAAGCTATTTACTCTCGCCTTTCTCTCAGCGTTTGTGTGCGCGGAATAACAAGAGGAATCGATTTATGCAAAAAGGGATATGCAGAGACGCGAATAAAAACTGTATTATCGAGACCGTTTCTATCTCCGTCGAGATTAATTATTTCACTCGCGTGTTAAGCGTATTTACTCCTTTTAATGATTTCCACAAGTTTTAGAGACACCTTTTTCATTAAGTACTTTATATAGAAAACAATTTTGCAAACAAGAGATTTACAGCCTATGAAGATAAACAAGCGTATACGTATCGTACAATCGGAGGGCTTGTAAATCATCATCGTGCCCCAGAAACCGATACATCGGGCTTAAGCTGCGATATTTCGCTGCTGCAAAATGTAAAGCGCGCGGAATTCGCGGGAGTACAGGTGGCACAGACAGGACAATAGAATCGCAATTACCGTAAACTGCCCGCATTAAAGCGCGATTAAGGAATTTACCGCGGTACGGGACACTCCGAAAAATCTGCTATCTGAAGTTGACGGAATCTGATGTAGATTTGCCTCTTTCCAAGTCTTTAAGGAAATGAATTAGACGCGATGCACCAAACTCTGTTGAATCGGCGCGGATGTTACAGCTGATTTGACGCGAGTGTCTTTCGCGCAACGTTTGGAAATAAATGTCGCGGCCTAATTTAAAGCGCGCGCTCGATGCATTCTTTGATACTCCCGATAATATTTGCGAAACAAGCGCCCGAGTCGCTCTCGACGGCATCTCGAGAAACCACTTATTATTTCTCGTAACGCGATCCCTTATTGACATTCCTTTATACGCTTTGCACGCGGAAGGCTCCTGCTACCGCCACGGCGGAACGACAGATATGCCGGTGTACCGACAGTACGTACCGATGTCCCGATATGAATATGACATTCCGGGAAATGCGAACTAACGGAAATTTATATCGTTTTATTCGTGCTCCATCCTTTTGTCCGCGTTTACTCTCTGAAAGTCACTCAGTGGATTATGAGGGGTAAACCGCTGAGGACATTGTGGTGTACGCACTGTAAAACAATACATGTGAAATTACAATTATTATAGTGGGTAATATTGGGACTGTCTACTGAAGGTGTATATTTACATACGCCAGTAAATTTACACCTTGCACGTAAAATTATTATCTTATATAATAAGTAAACTCTCTAAAAATCAATTAGTGAATTATCACTGGAAACAGTGAATAGCCACTGATTTGCAGTTATAAGTATACTACTGAAAATTTCAGTGTATCAGATAATTCACTAATTGATTTTTAGAGAGAACTGCTTGCTTCTAATTGTGTAAATATTACAATATTTTGTAATTTTTCATCAAGTGTAAACAAGTATTTACACAACGAAGAGTAAACAAAAATTTTGTAAAAGTACATAAATTTGTACATTTCCGTTATTAATAGTGTAATCGCTACACTCTCTAAAAATCAATTAGTGAATTATCACTGGAAACAGTGAATAGCCACTGATTTACAGTTATAAGTATACCACTGAAATTTTCAGTAGTATACTTATAACTGCAAATCAGTGGCTATTCACTGTTTCCAGTGATAATTCACTAATTGATTTTTAGAGAGCACGTATTATGTATGTAATTTTATATACTTTTTTGACAGTGCAGATTTGCGACATTGCTAGGCATTACTAGGCATTTTTTGGGCATTAGTTGGCCATCAGGCCTGTCTGGGAAATTATTAAGATAAAATAAGATAAATAAGATAAAGTAATGCCCACGGGGCATTGGTGTACACGATTTTGATCAGCGGTTTACTCCTCGGTGGATTATCATTGAAAACAGTGAATAGTCGCTGATTTACAGTCATAAGTATACCACTGCAGTTTTCAGTAGTAAAACTTATAACTGCAAATCAGTGACTGTTTTCAGTTTTCAGATAATCGAGGGGGAAACCGCTGACCAAAATCTTGCACACCAATGCCCACTAATGTCCATTGGGCATTACTTTATCTTATTATCTTATTTCATCTTATTTTATCTTTATAATGCCGCAGCAAGGCCTAATGCCCCTCAAAAAATGCCTAGTAATGCTTAGTAATGCCCAGTAATGCTGCAAATCTGTACACCACAATGCCCTCAGCGGTTTCCCCCTCGGTGATAATTCACCGATTGACTTTTAGAGAGATATTTTGTTCACTCGCGCGCTCCTACCCCGCCAGAGATATACGGTTTGACCGTACGATTATTTTATTTGCGCACCTTTTTTCCTGCGCCTTTGCTCTCGTGAGACTGGGTTTTCAATTAGTGCTAATCGATATTGCGCCTCGCCCACGAAACATTTTCCACGTACACAGCAGCCGCGACCTTTAGCCCCCGTTCCCGAACGGGGATCCGATATCGGTGAAATCGCGCGGAAGGCTGTCGCGGAGGCCGTCTCTTTTCCCCTCGCGAATAACACGACACGCCGCTCTCCGAAAAAAAAAAATCGGCCGAGTTCCTCGAGTTCACGGCTAACCGACAAACCGAGAGAACGAGGGGGGAAAACCATGTCTAGCCGGTACGCAGGCTCTGCCGCGAGACAGACGGTAAACTCTGTTAACCCGGCATTCAATTTGTCAAGGTGAAAATATGTTTGCTAACGTGAGATTCGGTAAATCCCAGTTAATCCGAGTGCTCGAGGCGCAATAACACGAGACTTTAAAGCACGTATCAGACTACGGATTGAGATTAGATTGAAATCCACCAATCGGAGTAAAATTCGCTATACTTGAGATTAGTAAACTTTGCTCCGATTGATCGAATTTCAATCTAATCGATCTGATTGTCAATCTCCGTATAGTCTCATACGGGCTCTAGAATGTTTGGAATTAAGTTTGGTTCTCGGACTCAAATTATGCTAAGATCGATGGGTATAAAATGTGTGCAAAATTATTTTTAAACTTTTTATTATAATAACGTACACCAATAGCACTATGTTTACAATACCTGGACTTTGTCGTTCACCGTCTTACAATTAGTAACACCGCGTTAACCCTTTCATGATCACTGAAACATACAAGTCCCACTTACAAGATTTAAAAAGCTCAACGATTTAGCGTTCACTGGAGAGACATGAATAAAAACTAAGAGATCAAAGAAAAAAGAAAATAGCTCGGTCACGAAGGGTTAAATAATAATAGTAACAATAAATTTATTGAAATGTACGATAAACAAGTGGCAGGTGAACGAACGTAAGTGAAGTGGCAAAAGACGGACAAGTGCACGCAAATGGAAGGCACCAACGATACTGTATTTTGAGACCTGAGCCAGTAAATAAAGTGCATACTCGCTGTCCACACATTAAGGGGATGCTGGGGTGATTCTGCACCTTTTGCATCTGGAGCTGGCGATTTATACACAAGTAATACACAAATTATAAGGCTTGCGCAAGGGGGTAACCACTAGTTAAAATGTTGTCAGCTCTAGGTGCAAAAGGTGCGGAATCACTTAAGCGAGGGGGGAACCGCTGACCAAAATCTTGTACACCCACTAATGCCCAGTGGGCATTACTTTATCTTATTATCTTATTTTATCTTTATAATGTCCCAGCAAGGCCTAATGCCCAAAAATTGCCTAGTAATGCCCAGTAATGGCGCAAATCTGTACACCACAGTGCCCTCAGCGGTTTTCCCCCTCGCATCCCGCACTTAAGCATCCCCTTAAATTGAAATAAAAATTAGGA